GCAGGACGGCTTTGTTGGTGGCTGGTTGCATCTGAAGTGGACGAGGCCGGTGGATCGTGGATCGCAACTAGATGGATCCAATCTTACTGCCAGCGGGAAGGGAACAACGGCCACTCGCTGCTAGGTTGCCTCTTGCCTTCCGCGAGGCGAATCCTGCCTCGTGGTTCTAGGAGCATGCGGCTTGGGATTGATGGGGTTGATGATGAAGTGTACCAAGTATGCTTCGTACTCTGTACTCTGTGGTTGTACCGTGTGTCCTTGTCACGGAGTCAGGGGTTTCCGGGAAGGGTCGGTTTGCGGTCCGGCGTCCTGCTCTAGCCTAGCTTGCCTACCTTATTAGCTGTGAACTTGTGAAGAATAGCTGAAAGGAACATTGTATGGACGGTGAGATGACCATTGAGGCTAGCTCCGAGGTTTAGAACTAAAGGGCCGGGTTGATGATGGCAAGTGGAGGCGGAACAGAGTTTGAAGATTCCGTGATGTCGAATTTCTTTGTTGCGCAAGCAGAAATTGATATTCGTACTCCGCAGTGCCGTACACAGGAGACATAGTGTACGTAGGTAGTGCGGAATAGAGACAGCATCTGGGACGGATGAGTGGAACGGGAGCCGTAGACGGAGCGCATTCCGTATCCGTCGAGCGCCGTTGCAGCCACACAACCGCCTGGCGTAGGTAAATTTCTTCGCAAGGCAGGAACGGCAAGTAGCCGTACCCTGGAGTTAGAAGTCACCTGCACTCTCAGGTACCGTTACCTTCCTGCTTAGTGCTCTCCCGCCATCTTCCACAACCTGACTGCGTCCCATGGTAGGTGGCTTGCGCCCCTAGCTGATGAGGTAAAGCAAGACGGAAGAGCTACCTATCTTACTGTGTGGGCACACCGTAAAGCCAGCCGAGGTACGTATTGTGTTCCAAGGCGACGGTCATCGTCACCAATGACCGGGGGGGGGGGGGGGGGGGGGCGGGGAGGGGGGGGGGAGGGGGAGGGACTCGCGAGGGCGCGTGCTGGGGGGGGAGAGTGGGGCGGGGCGAGGTGGGCGTGGGTGGGGGGGGGGGGGGGGGGGGGGGGGGGGGGGGGGGGGGGGGGGGGGGGGGGGGGGGGGGGGCCGACGTTTGGAGTCTAAACCACGCCTTGTCTGAGATGGGCACCTCGAGGCCCTTGAGTAGGAGTTTATGGCTCAAGCCAATATCCCATAGTGGTGTTCCGGCTCCGAAATCAAAGTCCAGGTATGGAGGCCGGCCGCAGGGTCCGTAGCGAGGCACGCTGGGCTGGTAAAGGGACGGTCCATAGATGAGTGAGTCCTGTAGCGGCTCTCATCAGAGACTTGGTTTGACGCAGATGTGATGCAGGGACGAGAAGAGAGGAATGGAGAGGTTCGAGTGAGTCTAGACCTGCCGGTCTCGATTGGAGGGTTCAAACAATAGGGCAACTAATACGGATGAGCGCTCGGCACGCGAGTCTGAGATGCTGGTTCATGGGCCTGCGGCCTGTTCCCGCTCCCAGGAACAAGGCTGGTGAGCTTCGAGTCGTGAGTCGTGATTGTCTTGAGATGGCACCGGCCTTGCCTGGTCAAGCCCTGTGGATGAAATGTGCAATGGCAATGCACTTTTGTATTATTCAGCCATTGAATATTAATCTTCACTCCAACAGGTACGCAATACCTTGTACCGTGCGGGGCCATGGTCTCTCCTCCCACCAAGTCTACTGCAGCATATGGCCCGTGGAGAAGGGAGGAACTGCAGCATGGAAGGCATTGATTTGTTTCTAGCAGATGGTTTTTGTCTCCCTGATTAATCCCCGACCCAATTAATTCAAAATGGCGACTGCAAAGCCCCAGCAGCGCGATGCAACGCTTCGGCCGAGCATGCAGGATTTCGTAATTGTCGTCATTACTATGGGTTCCTGATGAGGATCTGTTGGTCAGCCTGTCATGCTGCGCGGACAATAATTATTAAGTAGTCTTTTGTCGTATTAATCTGAAGGTGGCGGCTTGCTTTATGTTCAGAGCGTCCGAGGCGACCGTGATATAGAAATTGTCAAATTGTCATCTCGGATTCGTTCGACCCGCCTCACGCTAGCGATGGCCTAATTCACTATCCCCTTGACTGCACGTTGTCAGCCGCCTCTTCCACATGTTGGAGTCTGGCATGAGTGAAATATGTCATGAGTATGTCGAGTCTACACTGTTTAACTCCATCGTTTTACATAACTAGAGGATTGCCGCAGTATATATAGACGCTACCCTGCCCTCGAATTCCGCACTATTTAACCTTAACCCTTTTTATAAGTTACCTATCCTTTTCTCTATTCTACCCTCTCCCTTATTAAAAAATCGCTAGAATTATAATTTTAATAGCTTATTAATAAGCTAGTATTATTATTTAAAAATAAGTAACTTATTTTTATATATAAGTACTAAGAGTCTTATTATTATAAAAATAATAATAGATATACTAGAGTATTTAAAAAAGCTTTTTAATAAACTTTTAATACTATTTAAAGTAATTATTTTCGAGCTATAAGAAGAAGCTAAGGTATTATATTAATACGGCCCTATCTATTTTATTAATATTAATAATAGTTTTTTTAATATAAAATATATTATTAATATTCTATAGCCGCGTTATTACCCTTTATAAATTATACTTAATATTAATAAGGATTTTAATATTATTTTTTAATTTATTTTTTAATTTTTTTATTAAAGCCGTTATTATAAAATTAGTTTAGTTATTAATATTTTAATAAGTATTTTAATTTAATTTAAAGGCTTTTATAACCCTTAAAAAAAGGCTTTTAAAAAACTTATAATTAAACTTTTTATTTATTATAAATAAAACTATTATAATTAAAACTATAGCGTTACGAACCTCGATAGTAAGTAGTTAATAATATAATTATTTTTTTTTTATAGCGAGCTTAAAAAAGTATCTTAATTTAAATACTAAGTAAGTACTATACTATTTTATTAAAACTATATTCTTATACTTATAACTTAAAAAGAATTAACTTTCTTCGATAATAAGGTACTTAGAGTATGTCGAGTTTTGAGTCTCGAGTGTCTCGGGTTGTGTTAGCTCAACAATTCGCCAACTGCGTACCTATTACTTGGATGATTGTAAGTGTGCCCTGAGCTCACCTCACCTCACCTCACCTGACCTTCCCTTTTCTCTCTTACACACAGTCTCGAGTCTCTTGGTCTCACTCTCACCTCGAACCCACCTGGGAGATTCAGGCAGGGTATCAGGTGTGCGTAGCGAGGATAGCAAGGCCGGTAATAAGCTGACCCTGGCAGATCCTACAAGGCTCCTCCTTTCGTGTCGTCTGCGAGGCTGCTCCTCTTTCCCAGAATCCCAGGTACGAGGGTTGGGAACCTGGGATGGACATGGCTCTCTCGAGAAATCCAATCTAAGACTCCTGGGACCTGGAACTTGCAAGGGATCCCCCCTGCCGCCCGCTCTCAATCCCCTTCCTTCCTCCTTCCCCTTGCAAGCCAACGAAGTACCTCGGTACCCTCCGGAGGTACCGGAGTACCTCCAGTATCGGCGTCTCTCTGCACCTTCCACAACTGCCACGCACACCCAGCAAACGGTACCTCATCCCCAGTAAGGTACGTCGATACGGGATAGTGGGATCAAAGTGGCTATTACCGACGGCGCGGATTGCTGGGTTGTCTCAACTAGCCCTTGCCGTTCCCATTTGCCCTGGCACTGGGCTCTCTTTCTTTTTTTATTCCTACGTCTCCGTATTATTCTTTTTTTCCAGAATCTTTTCCCTCTCTGGCATTTTTTCACAATTATTCCTCCGATGGTTTCTTCTGCCCCTCAGTACTCCCTACTCAGTACTCCTGTACTTTCCTCCCCTGGACCCTACCCTCGTGCCTCCCCTGCCCCTAGTTGGAGTACCTAGGGACCCCACGCCTAGCGCACCACTGATGATCTTCTTCTATTTGCTTTTTCCGCTGGTTCCCTCTTCCTCTTGCACTAGACTTGATCTTGGTCTTGGTCTTGGTCTTGGAGTCGTGATCCTCAGATTCTCATAGTCAAATCCTCGAGTTCGACACGTTCCCCCAGGACGCCAAGAACTATATCACCACCGCTTGGACACATATTTCGAATGGATGGATGGATGACGGATCCTTAGCAGAAAGGGGCGCTTTGCTCATGTGTGATGCTGACGGTCCTCCAGCTTCTATAGTTCATACTACCATACCGTCCTTGCATGGTCGTGCGATCCATTCGGAATTTCAGTCTTGGACTTCTGGCAGATCATGCAAGTCTGCGAGCGAACGGACGCACAATCCTGAGTGTTTTGACCCCCCACCCCCAACCGGCCGGCTTTTTACCTTCATCTCTTGCACTTATTCGCAACACCTTGACGGTGTACCGCGACCTCCACGGCCATGAGGTAGAATGGAGAGGCACACGAGCAGTCCGGTGTACACCATGACCTCGTGTGGGTGCAGATTCTCGCCTGCTGCAGCAGTTTGAGCCTGTTCTTTCGTCCACACTGCAGCTACCGGAATTGGAACAATGTGCCGCTGGTCGATCAATACGAAGGTCATTGACTCGCCGCCGCCGCGCGCCGCCGCCTCTTACGGATACGCTGCCTTTGACAGCAAAAATTGTGCCGCACACACCTAACGACTCATTCACCATACCTTTCTTTGCTGCTTCGTCTCGCAGCGCGCTCATTTGTCTCGCCAGTTGAGTCAAAAGTTCTGGCCCGAAGTTGTCTCTTGAAATGATGCCGCGGCCCCTCTCTCCTTTGCCGTCTTATGGCGGAGCGCCCGCGAAGACCATGCGTCCAAGTTCTTTCAAGTCTCCTCGCGACTAGTCGCCTGCTGGCCGCATATCTGGAGTATTCGTTCGAATTACTGGATACGCCGTCTTCTCGGACAGGAGTCTGGTGTTTGGGGACATTGTGGGCGTTCCTACAACGCTTAATCGGCCTGGCCCGTCCAGCGCCACCTCTTGTTCCCCTTTTTTTTCATTCGAAACTGCTATTCTGGGGAAGTCAACAAGGCCAGGCGAAGATAGGCAAAGAAGGGAGGCTGGTTGGCATGTTCCACGAGGTACCCATCTTGCGTTCCGTTCTTCGAGATCACCGACAGGCGCATGGGTTGTGGTTCTTTTGACTCTCTCCAGCTGGTAGGGACAGGCCCGAGTGGACCACCAAAGACCCAAGACTCCAAGAGTCCCGAGTACCAAACGAGTTGTTCGTCCACCCCCCGGCCCGGCGCAGGGATGGCCTTGGTGCTAATCGCCCCAGCGCGCGATGAGCGTGGCACGGCATGGCATGGGCATGGCAGCATGGCAGCATGGATAGTTATCTCATCGTAGCAGCCATCCGTCAGTGTGTGGGCTGTAACTTGGGAGTAGCAGCAGACTCAGAGTTCCCTCAGTCCACTGTCCACCTGACGGGGGTTGGTTGACGATGCACTACCGTGTCCGGATGGCCAACGGCAAATGACGAGGCCTGCCGCCGCAGCAGCACCATCGGTGGCACCAGCGAAAGCAACTGCTGTTCCCCATGCCTCCATTCGCTACTCACGATACTGCTGACAGGAGAGGCGCCTTCTCTTTGGATCCCGATCTCCGTGTTGTTGCGCCTCCGGTGCCACTCTGCTGGGGCAACGACCATGTATCCGTATCGGCCGGAGCGGGTGTTGACACACGTACTGGCCCGCTCTATATGGCGTGGCGTAGTAGACGAGTATGCGGCTTGCATGTACGCAGTACACATGGTTTCTCACTCGGTGAGACCCCGAGGAACTACTTGACGAGGAGGTGTTCATTTGCACTGTCCTACTGCAGGCCGCTGCTACTCTGCTACGGCGACTGCCACTGCCACTCCCGATGCCGCCGATGGTTGTTACTGCCGGCGGTCGGGCGATAGGCGGTGGGCGGGTTGGGTGGTGTTGGCAACAGGCGGTGGCCGTGGCTTGTTCAAGGCCCCGGAGACGACGGGGGGGACGACATCACAAAGGGGCCTCTCCACGATGACGCGCTAAGGCTGACTAGAAGCGAGTAGCGGGCTGGAAGTGGAGGGGGAGTGAAGGGACTCTGCGGCTTGAGGCGTTGATGAGGCGTACCGTACCTGACAGAGAAAATGGCAAAGTGCCAAAAGACCACGGACGGGAACTGGAAGGGATGCCGAGTCGAGATGTGATGGGAGGGAAGAGCTGGACAAGAGGAAGGGAGGAAGCATGACACGGCCTGGCACGTACATGATGGATGTACCCAAAAAGTTGCTTTTGTGAGCGCAAGATATGGGGCGAGTACGGAACGGATACTTCTGGCCTTGCATATCCTACACAACGAGACGGAATTTGACGACACCCTCAACTCGTCCTTCACTATCAGTGCTCGACCGCGAAAGCCCACCCACCCAGCTCCTACCTAAGGTATGGAGCCTGACTACCTTACTTGCTGTCCTGGCCTCGTGCTCGCATTGGAACTCTCCTTCCACACACAAACATCGCACACACACACACTCATCGTCGGGCATACAGGGCAGGGAACAGTGGAGGAGCGACAGCACAGTACAAAACCAAAATGGGAGGGGAAGGGGGGGCCGAGAGAATGGATGGCCCAGTGGCCAGTGGGTGCTGCCGCTAAAAAGATGAAGCTCCGGGTGTGTAGCGTGTGCCGTGTGGGAGTGTGGGAGCGTGGGAACGTGTGGAGGGTCTGGTCTGGTCTGGTCTTGTACTGCACTTCTTTCTCTCTCTCTCTCTCGCTCTGAGAGGTGTGAGTCTGCATTGAGGATGCATTGCCAGCAATTTCACCCAAGTTCCCCCAACCCATCCAAGCGCATAGTCCCCTTGGACATTTGGGTCCTAGTTCCTGGCCCGGCGGCGGAGAAGGGTACGTACCCCCGATCTGGGGCCACCGTCCGTCACTTATGGAGACTCAACGTAGCTGATGTACGGACTACGGAGTACCTTGCCCTGCCTCACTACCTTACTTACCTCGAGGCCCATCCCCTCCCCCCTTTCTGAGGTGGCCCCTTCACAGAAACTGGGAGGCAAAGGGGGGGCCTTCACCGTCCGGTTTAGTGTGCCAACACCCTCTGTACGCTACTATGCAGTAGAGTAATGTAGGGTCAGGATATGGAAGCCAAGTCCAAAGTACCTCTCCACCATTCGACGGATGACTAGTGACCTCCCTGGGCCCTTTCTCCTCGATGGACGCTACGGCTCTCTCACACATACACTACTCCGTAAGGTACTCATTGGATGCATGTACTCCGTACTCCGTACCCATCTTACCTCCATGCCACGCCTTTTGCCTCGTCTTCTTCCACGTTCAGGTACATGCTCTCTGCACTGCGACTCTATGTAGGATGTACGTACCTTGACCCGGTATCTGTACCTGATCTGTTCCTACCCTCCCATACCTTACCGTCTTAATATTATTGTTTGGCTTTAACATGCTCCAGTCCTCCTTGCGCTCTGTTACGACTCTCGCTCACACTCGCCGTACTCCTTTTTTTTTCCCTTCTCATCCCTTCCCCGACCGCATACTCCGTACTGCACTGACCTGACCTGACCTGACCTGGGCTGGGGCCTGACCTGACCGTACTTACCGACCGTATTTCTCTTGCCTCTTTCCCACGTCCCTGCACATTTGAAAGACGTACTCGTTCTCTTCTTCTTCCTTCCTTCTCCGTTTGCAATTTCCTCCCCCAATTTGTAATTAACAGACGGATATCCTCTCTGGCTTGCTTCTTGCGCTCTTTCACACACTCACTCCAGACCAGTCCCTCATTGCCTCTGGATATCCCACACCCCCTGAGCAATCTCCGTCGCTGCTGCTGCTTCCTGCTCCTGCTCCTACCTTCTTAAACAACCACCTCGCCGCCCTCGCTCGCCCTCCAATAGACTTTTACCCTTTCCCTCCTCACGAATCCTCACTCTTACAACCTCCGACTACTGCGGCATTCTTACCTCGCCAACAATACCCGACCAACAGCCGATATACACTGTACACCCACTCGACCACATCCTCGGGCTCTGAGTTCCCGTCAGATCCAACCAACGACATCTCAAGAAGTGACTTGGCCGCTTGTTTGCTTCTCAGCCGTGCCTCTGCAGCAAGCACACTCCCACAACGGACTCCTTCTGTGGTCCAGTCGCTCCTTTCTGCTGCGCTGCGCTCCTCTGCCTGGGCAAACATCCCTCGGCCGATACGTCCACCGCTGATTCTCGTACTCGACGACTGCAACTCCTGCTGCATCCCGCCCCCCGCCCAGCTACTACTGTTTTTGCTGCAGTATTTTGTCACATTCGGTAAGTTACAACAAGCCTACTTGGCTTACCCGGCCACAGATGGCTGCAAACTCGCGGGCGTCCTTCCCCCCTCCCTTTGGAACTCCCTGGCCCATTACACAGGACTCCGGGAACCAGCACCTGCATTCGCCCGCGTGTGTGTCGCTCACGAGACCCTCTTCGTCTCACAAAACTACCGATGCTTGTTTGCGGCCCTTCGACTAGATATACTCTTGCTAACTTGCTTCCTCGGGGAACACCAGCCACACAAGAACGTTTCAACCTGCTTTGGTTACTTAGGCTTCGCAACTTACTCCAACGTCGAGTTCCAGCGTGTAATATTGGAGGATCTAGATTTGGTTTCTGACCAGTATTTACTGAAAGCGCGATTTCCGACGACTTGGAGATCAGTCGAGCAGAACGTATAACGTACGTTAAATCGACAGAACGAGAATCTCGAAGATGGCGGGTGATCAGGGAGCCGGTGGCGGCATAGAAAGCAACCGTCGCCACATGTCGACTTCGACTCGCAACGGCGAGAACGAGCCCATTCAGGAGTCTGAGCCGCAGACCGGAAAGCAGACGCAACAAGAGGAGGCGAAGCCCCAGTTCAAGCAATCGTCACAAGTCTCTCCCAGAGGCTTCAACCCACCCTCGAACACATCAACACCCACAACAGCACCTCTCATGGCCAGAGCATCATCCAACAGTTCAACTGTATCAACGCCAAATGTGCCTACAGACAGCTACTTCGGGACTGTGCCGGAGGTCAAGGCTTCTGCTCCCCGGATCTCTCGGCCGATTGAGCCCCCTGTGACCAAGGTGACCCTAAGCGAGCTGGATGTCTGCAAAATTATGCACAACCCAAAGTTGCGTCATGACATCAACTTTGACCCCGAGTTGCACTTCCGCCCTAATCTGGACGGCGACAAGGGCAAGAGGAAACAACACAAGGCGGACCTTTTCTGGAACACCCTTCAGGAGCAGCTCATCCAGTTCGTGAGCGAACCAGAGTCCTTCTTCTCTGCACACGGTCAGGATGATGACTGGTGCTTGCCATCTTTGTTGAAGGCGGTTAAGGAAATCATTCAGACTTTGGTGCCCCAAAGAGACAGAGTTTACTTGGATGAGGGCCTCAATGTCGATTTGCTGATGCAGCAGTTCTACAGGGGAATCGCAGACTTGGAAAAGCTTGCTCTGTGGCTATCTCGAGTTCTCAAATCCCACTGCGCTCCGATGCGTGACGAGTGGGTGGACCAGATGTACACACAGTTGAGCAACGGAAACCGGACCAACAACGTGGATGAGCTTGTCAAGGGCATGAAAAGTCTGCTCAGTGTTTTGGAGGCTATGAAGCTCGACGTTGCCAATCATCAGATTCGCTGCCTTCGCCCGATCCTTATTGAGGGAACCATTCCATTTGAGCGCAAGTTCTTCGAGAAAAAGATTCAGGGGAGCAAGCTGGACGTCACTCAAGCAAATGCCTGGTATAGGGATGCTGAGCAGAGATATGCTGCTTCTGTGTCTCCCATCGCAGCTCATTCCTTTGGGGAGATGTCTGTCTTCTTTGAAGCCATCTCTCGCCTGGTCTTGCCCTCGGTATCCGAAAAGGCGTTGCCCAACACCTTCATCTTTGACGAAGAGAGATTCGGCAAGCTCCGGGCGGATATGTTGGACGCCATCAACTTGGAGGTCTGCATGCGTATGTACGACGACCTCGAGAGAGTAGGCCGATTGAACGCCCCTCTCTTCGCCAGCTCCTTCTCACAGTTCGACGACGAGCCTCGCAGCCGCCCTCTTTCCATGACTCCCGACTTCAACTTCAACACTCCGCCCTCGCGGCCGTCGAGTCTCGCCTTTAGCTCCGGCGACTCTGCCACTTCATCGCCCCGATCTTCTCTCATCCTACCGCCTCAACCTACCTCCGATCCCACAGAATCTCTTGCCAAGGCTAGAGATGTCTACAACTCCTTGGTCGCGCTGCTCCACACCTCGCCGCCGCCGCGTAGGCACGAATCTCGCTGGGAGGCCATTGCTCCCTCGCTGGCCCTTCAAATCTTCCGATTCACCAACGCACCCGCCGACATGCTACCGGTCTTCGAGTCGAAGCTCGCTTCCCACGTTTGCGACATCAACAGCCCCTTGTTCCAAGAGGTCGAGGCGCACTTCCACCACAGGCTTCTGATGGAGCTCCAGAAGCGCGTGCGCGAGTTTCGCGGGCTGACTGGGGTCGGTCTTTTCACCGTTGCCACTGGCGGCCGTGCCCAAGGCTCAGGACGATCCATCGGCAGTCCCGACCGTGAGGGCTCGGTCTCCGACGGCAACCGTGAGAACCGGGATGACGGCGGAATCGAGGACATGGCGACTCGGCTGGCACACCTTGGCATCCTCCACTGGAGAGTTTTCGCCGGCCTTGCATACACTGAAGAAGAGCAGGCCGACAGCTTGATGGAAATGAACCAGTTCTGAGGCATTCAGCCTTCATCTCCCAACACAACTCCATTTAATCAAGGGATGCTGGTCTCAAAAGAAAGACGAGCGACCCGACACGCCCTGGCCCTAGCATAGGGTTTCTCTATTATGTCTGGCCGAACAACAATACCCCTTTTTACAGTTTTTTAATTTTGATATTGCGGCTATTTTTCACAAGACTCTATTTGGCTATGGTGGGGGTTACGGAACCTTTTAGACGGTGTTTGGGGGTATCAAAGCATCAAGCTCGCGAGCGCTCTTGCCGCAATGGATTACTTGGTTCGGCGTTGCATTGGGGAGGTGGTCACATCCAGATACATAGCGCACTTTTGGCATTGCTGAGACAGAAAACAAAGAGTAACATTTCGCCATTCACATTTTGCTCCACCTCTTTTGCTCGTTCTATCATGGATTGTGTTATGTGATTGGCATGCTAAATTGTGGATTGTTTGTCTGTCGGCTGTGTCCGCTGCAAAGTTGTATCCGCATAAAGCAAGCAAGTGCCATTGTTGTTGTACAAGAAGAAAAGAAAGATAACGCTGGACCGGTCTTGAGGCAGCCACAATCACAATCACATGCGGATGCCGGGTGATAGCCAATCGGTGAGTTTTGCTTGCATATCGATCCGGGACGTGGATGTATGTTTCCCATGTATGTATCCTTTTCCTTTGGAAGTTTTTGACGGGGTTTTGGTGGTGTTTGTGATTTTAGGTCATACGTGGTTATGGAGTACATTCCAGACGTCAGTCAGGGCTGGTACGGTGGTTGCGGTACGTTGGGTTTGCAATGATGGGGTTCGGCTGGTAAGTCTACCTCTTTTAGCAGGTTCTCTAATGTTAGTATGTGTTCCATTTCATGCTTTGGTGATCATGGAAGAATAGATATATTCTCAAATTGTATTGATTGGTCGTCTTGTCTATGTCCTGTTTGCCCTTCCTTGAATGCCACATGTTGACAAGTGCTCATTCAAGAGGCGTTATTAGAAATCTGCCACGGATCACTCATGATCTCTAGTCCAAGGGAGATTGTGACGATTGATAGATATTTTGCCAATATAAAATACGTTATTTAGGAATCGAAGCTGACCTTAGCAGATACGCTCTCAGTCGAAGTAAACGGAATCAGCTGAATGTCTGAAGCACTGAAGAGGAAAGAAGACGATGAGAGGTCACGATGAATGACAGAAGCAAAAAGCGAGCCTTCGTTCTTCAGCAATGTAGCGCGGCCGTACAGCGAGGGCCTGTTGACCATTCACACTTCCCGACAGCTTTCCCTTACTCGACTGACGACTATTCTGTCCAGTTCCGGAATGGTCAACCATTCCGCGTTACCGGAGGCCATGAAGAGTTGTGGTTGTGGACTTGTTCTGGACAGCGGTTCAGTCAATGTGTCACGACCCCCACCACACTCACTCGTGTCTTTTTGCTATTTGCCCTTTCTTTTGTATTCACGAGACGCGGCGACAGAGTTCAGCCTGAAGTCGAGGTTATCTATATGTCTTCTAGCCCTACTTTCATCTCATGCGTATCGGTGAACAATTCAGAGCCTGACGTTCCAATCGCGGTACAATGTAGTGAGTATCAAAGAGTCACGTAGAGAATTCCGAGTCGGGAAGTGCTGGTTCACTCCAAGATCCTCCAACAGCGGGCCCAGTCATATCGAACTGCTGATCAAAGCTGCAATGCGTGGTTTGGAGGGACTTTTCGTGATATTGCGCGTGTGGCGTCTAACCGTACAAATCCACAAGGCCCCTATCGACGGTTTTCGGTTTCTTTCCTAACCGGTTGCTCGTTGCTGGAAGGGACTGAAGACAGAAAAAGGACGTACGAATATTGCCTTCGAGACCTGTCACCAGGCTATCTTGTCGGCTACTATTCTATTACTTTGATATGCCAGTTGTTCTGGCCATCCCTCGAACGTTCACGCAGTCTATGTTGGCACGTGGGGTACTGGAGCCAACACGATTTCCTGCTCTGGTGACTTGAGCTTTCTCCGGAGAAGAGAAAAATTGCCTTGTACTTTTTGGTGCCATTCTTCCCTGTAGATACAGATAAACTCTCTTTTACGTGTGTCGACTTCCGCCCCATGTTCTTTATTTTATTTTTGGCGTATGATCCAATAAGTTGTCTACTTCATGACGTCGGTTTGGTTAGCACTGCTCTGTGATCTGGTGCCAGCAGGTTAATGTATGCATCGATAGCAAGAAATTAGTCGTGGGTATGGTGCTCTGTTTCATTGGAAAGACATTGTCTGATGGTCTTCCCATCGCCTCGACTAATTTTGTCTTTGAGGTTGCTTGTTGTTCCAACCAAGGTTCGATCAAAGTAGTATGAGGCGAGGTGGCAGGCGACGCGTGCGATTCGAAGACAAGGATACCAAAGATTAGGACAAGATAGACACCAGTATTGATGCCGCGGATACGGCTGGTTCAGTCTCGATAGGTAATTCTCAGGCAGCCGTGGCGCTTCGGAAAATATGCGACGGTAGATAAATTTATTTAACTTCAATTTGAGACGATATCATGGACAGATTAAGGCGACAAACCACTAACGAGTAATTACGTACGGAGTTATCGCGACGGGTAAGCTTTTCTGCCTACTTACGTGGCCAGGATTACATGAAAAACACTTCAAGATTGAAGTCCGTACAGATTGGTAGCAAAGATGTATGTTTTATTACTTCATATCCAAGTGCTTCTTATCCAGAGACTTTATGTTCTCGATACTAAGATATATCGACGAGTAGTTGACGAAGAGCTTATCGATGGTGGTTTCTCCGGAATATGACTCGGAGTTTGTTGCTGCCACAAATCTTACATCTCAGATGCAAAGCTTACGAACCTCGACGACTTTCCAGATCAGGACCGAGAGAAGTCGCCTACTGGGCGACGAGGGACCGTTGAAAGCGTACGAGAAGGCACTGGGCTGCTTCGAAGCTTGTAGTCAGAGACAAACCGTCGGTTTTAGAACTCTGAAAGTCATGCGTGGCACAGCCTACAAATGTACATGACGTCTAGATCAACGCCAGTGTCGGAACCGCAGTTGCCGTCGACGGTGGCGGAATTTCTTGCATTATTTCTACTGTCGCCGGACAGTACCCATATACTACTGATATCGTTATGCGGGTCTCATTGACCGTAGCCATATCCTCTTTCTTACGCCTGGCGCTGGCATCCATCTAACAAAGCAATGTTTCATTTCCCAGACCAACTCCAAACCATTTAACAAGTCTTTTCGTACCCCCCTCGAGAGGGGTTCCGCTCGCGCGCATTCATACAAGGAGGGGTTGAGTGTTTAGTTGATGAGCATGGAGACCTATCGTTACCCAGTTAGAATCGCAGAGGGGAGTAGTTGGGGGAGGGAGAGACTTGCCGCCATGACGACACAGCATAAGCTGATGTATGGACTTAACCGTTCGCCTACTCTTGCGAATTTCCAAAATATGCCCATGATACTGTCGAAACATGTTAGAAAACATGTTCCTACACGTGTGCGTGCCATTGTGATCCTACCCGTCCTTGTTCCGGTCCATGATGGCGGGCATGAGCTGGTGCGCGTATGCGCATGTGCAAATGAGAAGGAGAATGACGAGGAGGAGCGACTGGAAGTTGAATAGGGCGGTCTGTGTCTGGGTTAGTACGACCATGGTATACTGAGCATGATCGCGGAGCTTGACATACCATATTTGCAAGTTTAGTCCCTCTTTGAGAGTGAGTTGGCGGCTTGAACGGGGAATTTTGCGTGTATGGACAACCTAGCTTGACTGTCGCGATACAGGTGGCCTAGGGGTGCAGTTGTCTTCAGCTTCTCGTCGGTGGACAAGGTGGCCTGGAGAGTTTGTGCCACATGTGGCCTGAGCTTGGAGCTCTGCATCAGCCACGTTTGGATGTCGAAGCGCCACCCCCACAGCCAGCAGGGGTGCTGGACAAGGCCCAGAACCTGAGGCTCAGGAAGGTGCCTTATCTTATCGCAACCCTGCAAGCTGAGGTGCCTTCTGTTCTGTGCCGTGAAGTCTGTCACTCAATCCCAAGCACCTACCTACCTACCGACCTACCTAACTCTCAGCCTCTCCACGACGACTCTACCCTAGCAATCCGAACACTGAATTTACGCGCATCACGAAGGAGCCCTTGCGAATCCGTCCAGAGCGAATACAACGAAAATCAGAAACATCTTGCCCTTAACGATCGGATAATCAGGAATACCTGTCCATCATGGAGCCTCGCGCCCGCGCCGCCAAAAATGTTGGCAAAATGAACTTCAGCCACAACGAGCGTATGTCCCTGCCTCTGTAGAACTCAGCGAAACCAGTCGCCGGGAAATCAAACTAATAAAGCTCGCATTCTGCAGTGGCTCAACTACTATACGCCCACGGCGACGTAAGGAATCCGCTCCCCGAAACGATTCGCGTGCTCGACGAGATCGTAACCGAGTTCATCCAAGGCATGGCCTTCGAGGCGACGCGCGCAGCCAACTACGCGGGAAGGCAGAAGGTCAAATACGAGGACTTTGAATTCGCGTTCCGCAAGAACGACGCCTTTCTCGGAAAGGTCCAGGAGGTCTTTGAGAAGAAGGGCGAGATCGAGTCGGCCAAGAAGATTTTCACAAAGGACGACGAGGCGGTGCTCATGAAGGACGCCGCGGACCAGGAGCACGGCAAGAAGGATAAGGCTGCCAACGGTACGGGCGAGGCTTCGAGTGCGGCGGACGCGGCGGTGAAGCAAGAGGAGGAGCTGGGCGAGGCCGACGACGACGCTGATGCCGAAAGTGAGGTCGCGGGACGACCGTCGAAAAGGGTCAGATTGGACGGGGACGGGAAGTGAGTTAACTTCGGGTAATACGGGTGGAAAGTACGGCCATTTGGGCTCTTTTTTTATTTTATTTTGGGGATGAGGCATAGCATTAGGCGTTTGTTGGATGGTGGTCTTGGGGTATTGGCTTTGATATCATCCTTACAAGGGGGGTCTGGCTTAGGAGGGGTCAAAAAGCATCATATTCACGATGGTCAAATGGACATTCATCAATTTTTGGAAGACTTACTGCGAAAGGCAGTTGATTTCTCCTAGGGATAGCAACTGAGTTTCGGAGACTAGCCGAAGTCTGGTAGATATGAGCCAGGTACCCATGCATGTTGACCGATATCTTGTCTAACGACCAAGCATCAAGGGCTTTCAGTCGGATCATGTAGGATCATATATTTACAGATGCTATGTATTGCTGTGACCGAGTTGAGAGAAAGTCATTTGATAAGGCCATCGAAGTCTGGTCGAATAAGACCACCTCTTGGAATTGTATTGCTTTGGACTTTCGATCTACAGCTTAGCAGAGACAGTACTGAAAAGTCGATACGAAAATCATCAAGGTTCAGCCGCTTGCATATTTCTACATGCATTCGAACGGCTTAAACTTTAAAGTTTACAAGCAACCAGAAACACGGGTTTCTGGCATCTGCCCGAGTCATCCAACCCCATTTGCTCCGAATCGGTGCCGGGTCCGCCGCTGTCGGTGTTTGTGCGAGTGGATCCGCGCCGAGAAAGTGGGTTGGTTCAGCCCCCCGGCAAACGACATCCGGCGCATTTCTCAGTGCCTTCCTTCTCTGGCAAAACCTGGGAACATGGTGTGGTTGCGATATCGGGGGGGGGGGGGGGTTGGGCTGGGGGTGGGGTGGGGCGCGGGGGTCGCGGGCCGGCTTGGCGCTCACCCCACACCCGCCGCACGCGGCATGGGGCTGTCTTCTCCGGCGCTTGTGGGTTGGGGGGGGGGGGGGGGGGGGGGGGGGGGGGGGGGGGGGGGGGGGGGGGGGGGGGGCAAATTCCCTAATCAGTCTACAGGTGACACCCAGCGATGATCATACTGTTTCTGTTTTCTCGGTGTCGGCGGCGCATCAGCGGAACAAAAGGGCGCCCTTGCCAGCGGGTTGACGCCGGGCTAGCGGTAGCGGGGGGTTGGTTGGTTAGTTTCCATCGAATCCTCTGGGCGTTTCTCAAGTGGGTTGGTTCATGACCATTCGATGCTGGGGGATTCCCACTCCGCCCACAGCTCTTTTCCCTCCTCTAGCGAATCCGCATTGCTGCATTCGCCAACACTGACTTGACTGACACACTTGGAGAGATTTCAGAGGGGGTCATCTTCTCACGCATCTGCCACTAACACCCAGTAAAGAGAAGACGGGCACGACGGGATGCATGGGTGGGAGACCTGATGGTGGGCTATGCAGGCACGCCAGGCAGCATGTGCCCACGCCGCCGCACGCAATCAACCAACACATTTTGCACATCGATACTCCTCCGCTCCCACCTCCGCCCCCGTCTCCGCCCTGGTGAGGAACTATCCCGAGTGACTGACTGAGTAACTGACAAGTAGGGCCCCATACACTACTTTACTCCAGCCTCCCCACTTCCGATGAACGATGGGGAGTCCTTTTGGTTTCTGTACCTTTTGTCTTTCCCTGTGACTACACCCCGCTTCAATGCATGGTCGAAAATTTCTGTCTATCTCTGTTCAAGTGAAGAGTTCATTCTTACACACGCTATTTTGGATATTGAGTGAGCTGGTCGAGATCACTTCTCGCACCGAAGACATAGCCTACTTACGTACGCCAGCCCTACTGCTTCACTCTGCATGGCTTTGGACCTATAGACATGAAATCACCTAGCCGCCATGTCCGAACAGAAGCAGAACCATGATAACCTATTCGTTCCTCGAAACACCGAGGCCAAGTTGAGGTCTGATAGAGAACCAGAACACACTGATGAAGCCAGTCAGAGGTTATCAATAGACAGCAAGATGTCCTGGTCACACGACCATGGGAAGGGACTCTCAGCCCTACCAGATCCAGATTCGTTCCGCAGATTCTCCACGAGCCCGTTCCAGAATGGGAGGACGTCACCGTTACCAGGGGCAGAGTACCCTCCAACAGTATTACAGAGTTCTCAAAAGAATACGAAACTGGCGGCGTTCTGGAAGACCAACAAAGGCGTCGTCTTGGTGGCATTATCACAACTATTCGGTGCCCTGATGAATCTCACAGCAAGGCTCCTCGAGCTCGAAGGCGAAGGAATGCACCCACTCCAGGTGCTCTTCGCCCGGCAAAGCGTCACGATGGTCTGTTGCTGCCTCTACATGTACTACATGAAGACGCCCGACTTCCCCTTTGGAAAGAAGGAAATCAGATGGCTTCTCGTTGCCAGAGGCGTGACGGGCTTCTTCGGCATCTTTGGCATGTGGTACTCGATGATGTATCTCCCCCTCGCCGAGGCCACCGTCATAACCTTCCTGGCCCCCAGCGTCGCCGGCTACGTGTGCTATCTCGCCCTCCGCGAACCGTTTACCAGAAACGAGCAGATCGGCACCGTCATCGCCTTCTTCGGCGTCGTCCTCATCGCCCACCCGACCTCGCTCTTCTCCGGGGACTCGACGTCCACGGCCGCCGCCACCGCGCCGGAAACACCGGGCCTGAATAATGGGACGATGACTTCGACGCTGCCGGGACTAAACCACCAGGCTACGACGGCGGAGCGGCTAATGGCCATCGGGGTTGCGATAGTGGGTGTGTTCGGCGCCGCCGGAGCATTCACGACAATCCGGTGGATCGGGAAGAGGGCGCACCCGCTCATCTCGGTGAACTACTTTGCGACGTGGTGCACCATCGTCTGCACCGTCGTGCTCACCACCGCGCCCATGCTCGAGATCGGACAACCCGCCCTGCGATGGGGTCTACCACAGACGGGACGGCAGTGGCTCTTCCTCGTGCTGCTGGGCGTGTTCGGGTTCGTGATGCAGTTCCTCCTCACGGCGGGGCTCGGCACGGATCGGTCGAATAGGGCGAACGCCATGGTGTATACGCACATGCTCTTCGCGGCAGGGTTCGACCGGTTCATCTTTGGCAACGTCATGGGGTGGATGAGCCTTGCGGGCTGCGGGCTGATCATCGGAAGTGCGCTTTGGGTGGTGCTGACGAAGAGAGCACCGGCGCCCAAGAGGGAGGCGGATGTGGAGGTTGCCAACGTGCGGGATACGGAGGCTGTGCCGATGTTGGCTGATATGGATGGTGGAAGGGACGAAGATTTTGAGCTTCAGAGAGTGAGGTGATGATGTTTCACGGCTTACGATGTATGATGTTTGGATCTAAGCCAATAAGATGAAGAAAAGGGACTCGAGAATTAGAGATACTGGCCAGGCCAACTGGCCTGCGGCATTTGATAGACGCCCACAAAAACGCGTCTTGGGTAAATTGTACCGATATCCTTTACGGAGCAAGGTATTAGACATTGGCACTTCACAGAATATGAGTGATTAACATGCAGTGTTTACTGATTGCCCATATCGGCAAAGAGTTCAGAGCCCCCCCGAGAATAGAATGAATGATGGAGCAGGAGACTTCAAGGTATGTGGCAGCGAAGCTCTGGACTAAGAGAGAATACAGGTAGAGCACAAGTTGGACAACACTCTGCTCAATCCTATCTCACCACGCAATCGATCGAAAGAGCCTATCGAAGGACATTTGTGCTTGTGGTCTGGGGTCGGTAATTAGATTGCTTCATGAGCTCGGGCGAAGGGGCAGACCCTCTGCCCTGAGAAAGTAGCTTGCCAGAGCCAGATCTCAGGACATCGTGTGTTTGTAATACAGCCTAATTCACCGAGAACTCAATTCATCTGTCACGGGAAGCCGAACTTCGGCGATCATCTCCGAGCATCGTCGATGGGCCTTTCACTCGACCGAGACCTTGGTTTCTCACGAACGACGTCACAGGGGATTCTTTAGGGGACTTTCGAGAAAAGGCACCGAAACGTGTCGCCAAGCCAAGGGGGTGACACTGACGGCTTACGCATCCAAGGGGTGACTTCAGGATTCCAGCACGGCGGAACGCTGTTTGTAGACGGATTACACTGGTGGAGAGGGTCTCAGTGAGACAACAGTCTCAACATTCCCGAACGCGGGAGCAAAACTGTGATTGAAATTAGCATTTGAGTCAATTTGACCTGAGCACATGGGGTTTGACGGTTCCGATCGCACATCATGGTCCGATGGGAATTTCTTCGCTTTATGAGAGACATGATGTGCAACGTCAAATATTTTACCTTCTACAGGATATTTGAAAAGTGCCAGCCGCTGTTGAGGGTTGGGGCGTTTGGCGAAATAAGAAGAAGCTGCTTCTGTCCGTGTACTGCGTGTTGATCCACCATTTGTGTACAGCATTTGGTACGGTGGCCGGTCCTTTACTCAATCATTTCGTTGTTATAAAATTGTGAAACAACTGTGCATAATTTCTCAAGCATCAGATCAACATGAAATTCCAAAATATTGGTTAAGTGCGCGAGAACAAGCTGAAGTGATATGGGTGAAGTTGAATGAGGCGCAAACGGGAAGCTATCCACAGGTCACGTGTGGGGCACCCGATTCCTAATGTGTAAGTCGGCGCCTGCACTGTGCACCTGCAAGTTTGCAGGGATAGACTGAGGCGCGTCGCCCCGAAATCTTTTGGAGCTTCATCCAATTCTGTCTGACACCAACCACCCACCCCCAAGGCCAACGATCCATCACGACCGCGACATATTTGCTGACACTCCGATCGACTTTCCCATACACGATTGAATTGTTGATACCACACGAATTGACCGCCGGCAACCGACGCTTCCGCCGCGAAGATGGTCCAAATCAGCGAGGTTAAGGGAAACAGTCGCGAGAACCGCACGGCTGCCCACACCCACATCAAGGGACTGGGATTGAAGCAGGATGGCACAGCAGAGAAGCAAGCCGCTGGCTTCGTCGGCCAGTCGACGGCAAGAGAGGTGCGCTGATGATTGATGGCCACAACCTCATACTGAGGCAATCACTAACTTCGCGACAGGCAGCTGGTGTTGTAGTTGACCTTATCAAAGCACACAAGATGGCCGGCCGCGGCGTTCTGCTGGCTGGTGGACCCGGTACAGGAAAGACGGCTCTCGCTCTCGCCGTCAGTCAAGAACTCGGAACCAAGATCCCCTTCTGCCCGATTGTCGGCAGCGAAATTTACTCGACAGAGGTGAAGAAGACGGAGATGTTGATGGAGAACTTCCGCCGGGCCATCGGCTTGAAGGTTCGGGAAACGAAGGAAGTGTATGAAGGCGAGGTTACGGAGCTTACGCCTGAAGAAGCCGAGAACCCTCTGGGCGGATACGGCAAAACCATCAGCACACTTCTGATCGGCCTGAAGAGCGCAAAGGGACAGAAGAAATTGCGCCTGGATCCCAGCATATACGAGGCCATCCAGAAGGAAAGGGTTTCAGTGGGAGATGTCGTCTACATCGAGGCGAACACGGGCGCTTGCAAGCGCGTGGGAAGATCAGATGCCTATGCGACCGAGTTCGACCTCGAGGCCGAAGAATACGTCCCCATTCCCAAGGGCGAGGTGCACAAGAAGAAGGAAATCGTGCAGGATGTGACGCTACACGACCTCGATGTTGCCAACGCGCGGCCCCAGGGTGGTCAAGACATCATGAGCATGATGGGCCAGCTGATGAAGCCCAAGATGACTGAGATCACGGACAAGCTGCGCGGAGAGATCAACAAGGTGGTGAGCAAGTACATTGATCAGGGTGTTGCGGAGCTCGTGCCGGGTGTGCTCTTCATCGACGAGGTAAGAAATCTTTGAATGTCTGGCGTAGTTGATAGGGAATCGTGGGTTAATCATTTATGACAGGCACACATGCTCGATGTCGAGTGTTTCACGTACCTGAACCGGGCTCTGGAGTCTCCCATTGCCCCGATTGTCATTCTGGCATCAAACAGAGGAATGGCCACGCTTCGCGGCACGGATGATATTGTCGCGGCGCACGGCATTCCGGCAGACTTCTTGACTCGCATGCTCATCATTCCAACCACGCCGTACCAGGCCGATGAGATCAAGCGTATTGTTCGCATCAGGGCCACCACCGAGGGTGTGCCTATTACCGACGCTGCCCTGGACAAGATCGCGGAGCACGGCGTCCGCATCAGCTTGCGGTACTGCCTGCAGCTGTTGACACCCGCCAGGTGAGTCTACGGTGAACCAAACCATGACAACATTGCCCTGTTTCCCACCGCCTTTGCTTCATCCCTAAAGCCATTCCCCCATCCCCTCTCTGTTGTGGACCATGGATCGACCGGCTAGTGTGAGACAAGTGAGCTAACCCCAATGAAAGCATTCTTTCCAAGGCAAACGGCCGCAGCCAAATCGACGTCCAGGACGTGGCCGAGTGCGAAGACCTCTTTTTGGATTCGCGGCGCAGCGCCAGTCTCTTGAGCAGCGAAAGCGGCAAAGGATACATTTCGTGAGACGAGTGCAAGAGGTGATGGTTGGACGATACGCGAGGAGAAGTCATAGAGCCCATGTCGGCTTCTTTCTCGAATGAAGGATGGCGGCGGCGTTGTAAAAAAGAACTTGTTACAATTATCGAGACCAACAGGTATTCCATGGAGTTGTTCTTTGACATGAAATATTCATCTGGGAGAGAGGACCAGTCATCTGTCGACAAGCGGTCTGGGGGACTCGACTGTATGTGTTTGAATCGGAGTACGAGTGTGGTTAGACGACATGGCGCACGCCTTGGAACTGTGAGCAAAGGCATTGAATCCTTTTCACGTTATCCTACTCGGCTTGACTGGGCATCCGGAGGTTTGGATTGTGAAGAAGAGGGCGCGCTGTTTGCAAAACAAAACGACTGTCAAGCTTTCCAGATGAGGAAAAAATAGAACCGCCCATCCCGACAGTGTTGAGACATTACAGGCCGCGAACCATAAAAACGCAAGTTTAACGAGAGACAACCCACGCACCGCCAATGCCAGTGCCAATGCCAGTGCTATTCTTTCCTAACAATAACTAGATGGAAAATGTCCCTCACCGCGTCTTGTCTTTTTTCCTGGCTGCTCTCCCAGAGTTCCCGTTCTGAACCCCGGCTCCCCCTCCCATCCGTCCGTACTTTTGCGTCTGTCATCAGAGACATCACCAACGCCAAACGCATTGTGTCCTGCCGATCAAATTTAAAAATTTCTAGTATCCAACAGACAGAAGAATGAAGCAGAGGAATTTCCTCATGGGCCCAGCTTATCCGCCCTTTCCCTTCTTTTCATCACGTGGGAGATGTGTCCAACCAACCTAGCCTAATTTCGGCCGGGGGTTGAGTGAGGAGAGGGAGGGGGGCAGACTTCTTTACATTGTCTTTGTTCCTTTACCGGGGCGGGCTTATGATTGAACATTCCAACCGGGGAACACAGCGCTCTCGTCCTCTCTGTGCATTCATTCCTTTACTGCCGCCTTTAATCTTCTGCCCCCGGTACACAGTCCTCATTCTGATCCTGGCCACACCCATCCAAGGGTCATTGTTTCTGACGTCCACCCCCAGCCCATGAGTCTGCAGTCGGTCTGCGGCTTCTTTTGAAGAGAGGGACTGGTTGGCAAAGCAGGGGGGGGGCAAGGAGGAAGAGCCCAGTCGCGGCGGCAGAGACAGCGGCTGCTGCATTAGTAGCAGCAGCAACACATGCGGGATGGGCATTGTAGATGGTCTGGGCTTGACTGCATTGCTGATGACATGAAAGGAAAGAAATGCCTAAAATAACATGGGGGGGATGAGAAATCTAGACTGCTTTGAGCAGCACATAGCCTTCCTCGTCTTTCATCTAACCAGGGTAAACCTCTACCTATCCTCACCAAACAAGACTTGAAATTGAATGTGGAGGGATATTCTTCAAAGTCGCGTCTCCGTGTCTCGTTGTTGTTCATACCTTTGAGTCATTATTCATCTTTTTGCGTCCTCGTCTAGGTCGCTCTTGCTACCGCCGCATCCTTTCCCGCCTTCTACTGCTCCATCTTCGGACTTGGGGACCCGAAACTTGCCTATTCCTTGTTCTCAAGGTCTGAGGGCAAGAAAGGCATTTGCCCATTTCTTGGCCTATACTCTGTCTCTCCGTCTCCAACGCTCTATGCGAACGGAACGCCTGGGCGAGTCCTAAAGAAGAGAGAGACAGACATAGACGACGCGGGCACCGGTCACCACAGGGCAAACGCTTCTTCACAAAGAAGCCCATTTCCCTCATCTGCAACAACCTTGGGTGTCCGGTACATTCCCGAGACACATTTCCCACCCCCCAAAGGATCAACATCTCTCTCTCTCTCTCTCTTGCGAGCTTACCCTTCTTACTTCTTTTCCGTTTCCTGACTTCAGTTCGTCCATCCTTCCCGCCTCTCCCTTTGCTCACCACTCAGATCCATCTCCTTCCCTGCTCAGAGCCGTCGGTCAACCGTCGTCGTTGACGCTGGTCGCTGTTCGTCGCTGTCGTCTCGACGACATCGTACCAACCGCCCTGCCTACCCTGATGTTCTTTCTTCCCCATAATGGCCACCTCCATCTTTGAACATAAAGTCATTGAGTTAGACAGTCATTGTCTGCTCGGTTTCTGCTGAATGAGAAGTCGTCGTCTCGATATCACAAAGGAGAAGGGGAAAAAGGTCGGAACGAACAATCGGCCATCGAACAAAAGTGATCTCGGCCCCGTCTCGTCTCGTTCCAACTTACCGATATACTGCTTCGCCTGTCTCTCGCACGTCTGTCAAATCATTGCTGCCTTTCCTGCTCGCCCAAGTCCACAACTACACGGATTCGCCAACACTCTTCGAACCCTAACTCAACCCTAGCATCCCGTCGTGTCTCTCACCATTGACAACGTACATACACCCCCTGTCTCTTCTGCTTCTTCAAACGCCCCCCTTTCCGAAGCATGGTGTAAGTCCAAACGTCTCATAGCTTCGAACGCCTCGCCCACTTGTCCCCAGTCCCAACTCGCATCTGTTTGCACACCTCCTGCAAACCCTTACAACCCAAAAGATGACAGATGTGGTCTCTACGCCTCGGCCACGGCGGTCAACCTCTTCCTCTGGTGGCATCTCTGCCCATTCGGCCATGGAACGAAGAGCGAGCCAGGAGACGGACGAGGGACCAAACTCTGCAGGCTCTGCTGGCAGTCGCGCGAGCAGAAAGCGCGTTACGTCCATTGATATCGAGGAAGCGAACACCTCTAAAGTGAGAAACCTCAGCTTGGAGACCAGACCGATGAGTAGCCAGAGCGGCAAGGATACCATCTGTCTCTGCACGCCCGGACTCAAGATCCCAAGGCCTCGCAACCGTGAGTCGCACATTTCCCGCTCTTCATCCCACATCGTCGGTCGACACATATTCGTCACAGGCCTGATCTGAGACCGGCCTCGGGGGACTTTTCTTTGTTGGACGATCCAAACAGACTGCTGGACACTTATGTAATGCCCGTTGACTGACGTTGTTCTTTGACAGCCTTCATACTGTATAGACAACACCACCAGGCTACCGTCTCCAGCGAATTCCCAGGCCTTTCCAACCCAGATATATCCAAAATCATAGGACAGCGGTGGAAATCACAGGACCCGCGAGAGAAGGAAATTTGGAGGCAACTTGGAGAAGAGGAGAAGAGACGGCACGCGGAAGACTACCCAGATTACCGCTATCGGCCTCGTCGGGGTAGATCTAGGAGTCAAACAGGATCGTCAGCCTCGACTAATCCAGGACGGTGCCCCAACTGTGGTGGCAGATTCATCGCAACGCCGAGAACGCCGTCAACACCAGCAGGCACACCGACAGTCGCAAAACCAAAAATGCAGCCGCATCGCCCGAGCGAGGCTCGCAGCGGGGACAGCGATCACCTTCGGCGTGCCTTACCTGGAGAGAAACAGCCCTACCAACACCAACACAACAACTTGCGGGACGTGGAAGAAGAATACGAACCAATGTCGCCATCCCCCGAGCTCAAACGACGCCGAATCAACCCCTCTACGGGATATTACCAGGCAGTTCCTTCATCCGGTCCATACACAGGCCATCCTCTATCGAGGCAGCCTAGGTCATCGGTGAGTATGCCTCCTACGCCGCCTATCGCCGGCTACGGGCCTTTGCCCGGTCCATCATCACTCGCGAGGCCCGGGTATAGTAACATGGCGCCCCCTCCTCCACGACCGCCCCATCCGGCGAACGCGGGGCCAAGCCGCGGCCCGGGCTACGATGAGAGTCTTCGACTGCCGCCCCTCCAGACCCAGTCGTCTCCGCCAATCAACAGAGACAACGATATAAGCGACCGCCCGAGTGCACACCCAATGACTGGCATGGGCATCGCAAACCCGAGAGATAGATATGCTCAAAGCCTCGAGGCCATGATCATGACGATTCCTTTCTGGAGCAAGCTGAAAGTCCTGCAAAAGATCAGCCCGACCTTGGCTCCGCCGGGACCGGCCAGTCCTGAAATCGAGATTCGCGGCGCAGTCGTTGCCGTTGAAGGGGCTGATCCTCGACAGCTAGAGCAGGTGGGAACGGCAGTGCATCGGTCTCTCCTCGGCTTGAGCGAGATTGATCTGAAGACGTGGAGCGAGGGACCGAGTACGCCGTTGTCTGGCCTGTCGGCCGAAGATGACGCAAGGATGAACGACACGGCCTCTGCTGGCGGCAGCAGCAGGAAGAGCAGCCATTCGCAGCCCAACTTACACGCCTCGGAGCTGTTCTCTAACTATATGGAGAGCATCCTGAAGTGGCATGTGAAGTCGCGAGAGATCATCAAACACGTCTCCACCAAGCCGACTTTCGCATCGAATCCGCCTCCGCTCACGAGGCGGGCATCGGAGGGGGAGGGTGTCGGGTCTCGACATAGTTCGATATCGGTACCCAGCAAAACACCAGTTGCGCTGCTCCCCGCGGGATTCAGTCTGACTCTATCAGACAAGTACGCTTGCACATTGCCCATCTATGATTGCTATGCCCCAATCGACCATTGGCAATGGGTATCGACTTTGTGGAGGGGAATCATTGGACCGGACCTTGTCATCTACGTCAAGTCAGTGACTGAGGAGGAAATCACTCACGCAGGTGCAGTTGAGTTCCGAGGCCACGGTGTGATGGTGGTGAGAGTTGCGCATAATAAGCCATTGGACGAGAAGACTGAGCGACGCATCTCTTTTGAGTTGGTGGAGTGGATTCGAGGAGGTAGCTATCAGGAGGGATTCGGGCGAGGTTGAGATGGCTACAAAAGCAGACTTAATAATGTGATGATTTCCAGCGGGATGCGGTGACGGATTTCCTTCTTTTCGGATTGAGACACACTATTGATTTTTCTTGACATAGCGTAGGCGTAGATAGGCAACCAAAATACTGAGCAAAGGTATTGAGTCGATTATTGGACAGCGCGTGCTTCGAGTGAGTGCATCTGAACGCCCAAATAGGTCAAACGATATCTCCCTGCGTTGTGTCGAGAGCCGATCTGCTACGCCCTGACTACTTTATAGAGTGATGCATTTCATGGGCGTTTTGCTGAAGGGAATGAGACAATGTCGCTGTGTATTTCTTTGAAGCGCGTTTGCTTTGTGTTTGAGGCAGCATTGTTGTCGTCTACTACCCGTGTCTTCTTAGTAAGGCCTTATGATGGATGTCGGTCACTTGTACACAGTACTGGTGTATGAAGTTATCCATTAGGAAGTCTCGCTTAAGCTCATAGCAGAAGACCCTGAGATGCGAGGCAGAAACTAGCCAATCAGGCACTGACTTTGTATTGACATCACCCCTACTAAACCCCTTGTCAGTTTAGTCGCAGGTGCCGCAGCAGCAGCAGCAAGCTCCAAGCTCCAGCGCGTTTATCCGATTGGGACGCGCTCCCAATGGCCCCCTGGGTGACATCCAAACACAACGTAATCTTCCAAGTACACACCACTCATCACGACGGGGCCTCAACGACTGGCCTACGCCCCACGATACCGACAGCAATAACGAACATGGTTATCTCCCAGTAGACTCACAACCGCGGAACAATGTCGGAGCTCGCAGTTGGCCAGACGGTACGTCTATCAGACGGCCGGACTGGCATCGTTCGCTTCGCCGGTGGAACGCACTTCGCTAGCGGTGATTGGGTGGGCATTGAGCTTGAGGATGATAGCGGGAAGAACGATGGCAGCGTTCAGGGCGAGCGATACTTTGACTGTGCCCTTGGGCATGGCATGTTTGTGCGCCCGACGACATTGGCCATCATCGCCCAGGCGCCTGCTCCGGCGGCGAAGCCAGCAGCTCGCAGGCCTAGCCGGCCGAGCAGCTTCAATCCTGGCGCTGGGAGGACGACCAGCGACACGGGTTTGACTAAGAGGATGAGTCTGAATGCGCCGAGTCCTAGTCCGGGACCTAAGGTGTCCCGGCCGGGGAGTACATTGAGGGTGAGTGTACAGATACCTGTGTATACCAAGAGCAACGACTCACCATGGGTATGTAGTCACCGACCAAGTCACCCACAAAACAGCTCGGATCAGCAACATCGAGTACCGCGCCATCGCGAACTACCACACCGTCCAATACACGTACACCAGCTACAGCTGCCAAAACGCGGCCAAGCGTGGGAACCTCTCGCAGCTCCATGGGACCTCCACCGATACCCGCCAATAGAACCACGAGACAACCCTCGACATCTTCAGCTCCCACACGGCCCACCCCAGGAAGACCTAATAGTGGTCGACTTTCCATCTCTGGACGGACTGCGGGTTCTGCGAGAAGGCCCTCCGCGGACATGGGAGCTGGGAAGAACGCCGACAGCGGTGAAGACGCAGGTGCCACGTCTCCCAACAAAGATGGCGAGACAAGCCCCGTGAGAGCAAGGACAAAGGCTTTGGAGAAGCTCACATCAGGCTCCGCGTCTACAACGCCTACAAGCTCAACAAAACCAGCGACAACCGCCCGTTCTACACCAAATGCCGCCGCTGCGAATAGAGAGATAGAGGACCTCAAGGCCAAGCTGAAAGTGCTTGAGAGAAAGAGATTGGAGGACAGAGAGAAGTTGAAGCAATTGGACCAGGTCCAAGGCGAGCGGGACAGATTCCAGTCCATCATAGAAAAGTTGCAGGCGAAATATCAGCCTCAGCAAAGCGAGAACAATGAGTTGCGAAAACAATTAAAGGAGGCAGAGGAGAGGTTCGAATCCATCGAATCAATGCAGATGGAGCATGAGACCGCCTTGGAGCTGGCCACATTGGACCGTGAGATGGCTGAAGAGACGGCCGAGGTTCTTAAGGTTGAACTTGAGGCTCTGAAGCAGAAGTCGGAAGAGCTTGAGCTCGAAGTGGAAATTCTCCGCGAAGAGAATGCGGAATTCGGCCAGGGTATGTCAGCGGAAGACCGAGCCAGCACCGGATGGCTGCAGATGGAGAGGACGAACGAGCGGCTCCGCGAAGCTCTCCTGCGATTGCGCGACTTGACTCAGCAACAAGAGGAGGAGCTCAAGGACCAAATCAAGACTTTGGAGGATGATCTCCAAGAATTTGGCACCGTTAAGGAGCAGTTTGATGCGGCGAAAGAAAAGTTGGCCCAATCCGAGGCTGCAGTTGAGGATCTTCGGCAACAACTCGATAATGCTTTGGGCGCTGAAGATATGATCGAGGACCTCACTGAGCGTAACATGAGCATGTCTGAGCAAATCGAAGAACTCAAGGCCGTCATCGAAGATCTCGAAAACCTAAAGGAGATCAACGACGAGCTGGAGATCAACCACGTCCAGAACGAAAAGGAGATGCAAGAGGACCTCGACTTCAAGGACAGCGTCATCACGGAGCAGGCGCGACGGGCGGGCGAGCAAGAGGAGGCCCTGGAGGACATGGAATACACCCTGTCCCGCTTCAGAGGACTGGTCACAAGCTTGCAGAGCGACCTCGAGGACATGCGGGCGTCACATGCTGTGACCGAGACGGAATCCGAGCAGCTTAACAGCAAGTCTCGCGCTATGATGGACCTGAACATGAAGCTCCAGATCTCCGCCTCCAAGGCCCAAGTCAAGACGATCGACCTCGAGCTACGACGACTGGAGGCTCAGGAGGCCGAGCAACACTTGGAGATTGTCAAGATGTTCTTGCCTGATACCTACAAGGAGGACCAAGACTCTGTGCTTGCTCTGCTGAGGTTTAGGAGATTGGCCTTCAAGGCCGAGCTCCTGCAGTCGTTCATCAAGGAGCGTGTCAACGGCCAACCTCATCCTGGCCACGAGGACGACGTCTTTGCTGGCTGCGATGCTATTGACAAACTTACATGGGTCGCTTCTATGTGCGAGCGCTTCACTAACGCCATCAGCCACTGCTCGATTGAACAGTTCCAGCGGTTCCAGAATGCCTTGTTTGAGCTGGAGCCAGTGGAGCGGGCGCTGAACGGATGGATCGACGGCTTGCGACGAGATGACCTCAAGGAGCAGAAGTGTGCGGACGAACTCCAGCGCACGATTGCGCTCATGTCTCATCTCGCTGAAGTTCACCTCACCAACGAGCTGCCCGACTTTGCCGAGGACACGTACATGCAGACTGTCGTCATGCAGAGCCATCTTGAGTCTGCCGGAGCCACCTTTGCTGCTTTGCGTGGAATGGTCCAGAGAGTTGTGCCCCCCGAGTCTGAAGACGATGAGATGGCGCAGCACTTTAGCAAGAAATCCGAGTTTGTCGTTGCTCAGACCCGGAGTGCCAAGGTTATTGCTGGGAAGGCTGTGCGGGCCCTGCAAGATCTCAAGTCTCGCTCGCTGGCGTTGCCGCAAGAGACCAAGGAGTCCTTTGAGCAGTGCCAGGATGCCACTCAACAGCTGGCAGCGTTGGCTCGTGAGATTGGCTCCGACTTGCATACGCTCCTACACGAGGAAGGCCGTAACGAGCCCTTTACGTACCGCGAAGTCCAGGATACAATCTCCAAGGCCACCACCAAGGTTACCATGTCGAGCGAGTCCGACCTCTTCTCAACGTACCTGTCTAGGCTTCGTACTCTTACCAGCCAGATCTCAGACCTGGCCGCACTTAGCGCAGATTTGTCCCAGACGCAAGAGTTTGAAGTCAGCCCCGCACCGTGGAAGCTTCGTTCCCAGGAGCTCAAGGCCATCAAGACAATCCCCGTCGATGCGGAGGAGGAGATGCGCCGCCTTAAGGAGGAGCACAACGAAGCCCGCGTGGCGATTGCGCAGCGCGACGAGAATCTGAGCACGGCCAACCTCAAGATTGAGACCCTCGAGTCGAGGATGAAGGATGCTAATGCCAAGGCTTCCCGCATTGAGGATCTCGAGGCGCAGATCGAGGCTGCGAAGCAAAAGGCTGCTAGTCTCAAGGAAGACATTGATAAGCAAGACCGCGAGCTCAAGACACTGGAGACGGACCGCGACAAGTGGAAAAAGATTGCCGGCGACAGCAAGGCTTTCGCGGACGGCGCCGGTGCAGCGGGCGCCAAGGCCGGCCAGGAGCGGGCGGTTGCTACGGCGCGCGAGATGGATGCTCTCAAAAGCGAGATTGCGAGCCTGCAGGCTGCCGTGCGATACCTTCGCGAGGACAACAGGCGCGCCAGGACGACGGAGCAGCACAACTACGACTGGCTGGCGGAGCCGCTCACCAAGTCACCTTCCGTCGTGGAACAGCGCCGCGCCCTCGTCGTGGCGGAGGGCAAGGATGTTCTCAGCGAGCTGGTCAAGTTCACAACGTCGGCCCGCGTATACGACCTTGCTTCCCTGCCGGAGGACAAGCTCGCGTGGAAGCCAGCGCGCAGCACGCCGCAGTACCACGCGGCCAAGCAGAGGGAGGACCTCGCGGCGTGGAACAGCTGGCGGAACTCGGTGCTCAAGAAGTCCGAGGTCGTGCTAGGGCGCAAGGATGGGGCGGCGGCGGAGAAGAGGCAGATGATGAAGAGCGTGGCGGCGAGATTGCAGATTCGTTTGCCGGACGCGGACGGCAAGATGGTGCCCGGCGGCGGGAGGGATGTGCAGATTGTGGGATCGCGCGAGTGGGAGGGGATACAGGGCCGACTGGCGGCAGTATGATTATCATGGAAGCGATGCGATGTGGCAGAAGGACTAGTAGGATGTTAAATACCCCCTGAATCCCAACCTTATTCTTCAAGTCTAGCATGCTTAGATTGGGCTCCCTCAGCCTTTTTCTACGACCTTCCCCTTTGTATCCCCGTGATGTCGTTTCAACTTGTTGACCATTGACCGTTGGCCGTGGTATGTTTTTTCATGATGATGCTTAGA